CAACCTCTCCGTTCACGATCAAAATTTTGCTCTTGCTTTGTATATATGTCTTGTAATTTTTTATTACGAGAATTTAACCCGGATATAACTTTCACAATACGATGTGAAGATGAGTCAGAAATCGAAAGCTTTGTATCCTTTATATTCTGTGCATTGGCCATATATTTTGACTCAGTTATATGTAACAAAAAAATGATAATTGTAAATTTTAGTTTAGCTTACACTATCTCCGGCAAAAGTATCATGTAATGTATAGAAATTTGTTGATACCAAAAATAATTAGTACAAATGTTTATATATTTTAAAATAATCTGAAATATTTGTAAACATTTCGAAATATATGGAAATATTTACATAAATATGGATAAATTTTTTAAAATTTTTTATAGTGAAGATAGCGTCAAGTTACACTTTATATGTACTCCAGTATGAATCGTATTCATAAAACATACTATAGTGCAAATGCAAGATATTTATCAGATGAGGCCATCAAAGACATTAAAACATCATTCGGTAGGGTACCTGATGCCATAAATACAATGGCAAAAAAATACCGTATATCTGTTTCTCGAGCCAAAGAATATATTGAGAATCAGGAACAAAAACAGCAAATGATAGATTCTTATCCATCTCAGATACAAAGTACAATTTCTTCTGAAATAACATCCATATCTCTAGACCCGAAGGGTCATTGCTTTGCAATAAATAATCAATTAGAAGATAATTATATACCTTTATTGCAGGGCAAGTCATTAGACAATTCTTCGAATCATAGCTCTTCGAGCTTACATACTTCAGTTAAAACTTCGGATAGACAGATAAAAAAGAGGCTATCAAAACCCAAATCTATTCGAGTTTCTGATTTATCCACTATTAATGATACCCAAATTGAGCAAGCATTAAATGAGGGAGAGAAACAAATAGAAGAGTCAGATCATAAATTAAATAGTCACTTTGTCTTCCTCTAGCAATTCTTAATCAGTTTTCTCTTTATTTATAGTTTCGTATTTTGATAATAAAAGTCTGTTACGAATATTAAGCTCGGTAATGATTTTGATAGCCCTCTCACAATTCACGCATTTTTTTTAAAGTCGAATTATCAGAATCTAGGCTAAAACCCGTAGGAGCATGCCATTCTTCCAATGGATCATTATCACTCTCATTACTATCTGCCTCTTGAGAAATTTGATCGGGTACCAAAGGCTTATTGCAAAGCAATGGGACTCCGTCTCTATTATTCTAAGATGCAGTAGCGCAATTTACTTCAAGTTTATTCTTGACTTTGTGCATAGTGACCGGAATAATAAAATCTTCTTCATTGTAATGAATTTTCATTTTATCATTACCCCAATCTACAGCACATTTATATTTTTTAAGAAGCGAATTTGGAAATATTAATGTCAGTTTAGGAACTCGTACAACTACAAAATCTTTACGTATAGTAAAACCTGGAGGAAATGTTATCGGTAAACTACGAGTGATGCTGATAGATTCCATTGGTACAGTAGCAACGCCACTGAGATCATATTTTTCCAATTTATCTATTTTCCCGCCCACACGTTTAACAATATCTTTTGATACAATTGCAGGTTCAGCTCCATTATCAAGTACCAATGCTGGAATTTTTAAGCGTTTGATTTTAACTGGTATAGTTGCAATACTAATTACCGGTTCTTTCTGACGGATGAAATCAATCTCCATAGGATCGTTCAGCGTCTCCTCTTCATCATCTGATTCAGGTATTTCTGGGGCCGGCTCTCGAAAATTTATAAAGTCAGGTTTTGCAGGTCCTTTAGGGGCGACTCTTTGAGTCATAGATAAATTCGTATTATTAATATTGTTTTTAATTGTTTCTATAAACTCTGGATCGTTAAACATAGCTAGAATAATTTTTCGAATTTGTGAGTCAATAATCGTATCTGAATTCTTTTGTATTTTTTGTGAAGAACATTGAATCGGAGATTCGAGACTCTGTCTCTTCTTTGAACCAGACTTTTTAGATAATGATTTATCTGATTTACCCTTCCGCTTTACTTGTTTTTTTTTGCTTTAGAGACATGTATGTTAATACTATGATCAGACTCAGATTCAGAAGATGAATTCTCAGCATCAGACCCTGTCTCAGAATTGGATCCAGAATCGCTACTGGAAGAATTATTAGTATCAGAATTGGAATCTATAGAAACCTTATTGATATTACCTTTCTTCTTGGACCCACTCTTAGATTTTCTTTTCTGAGTATACTTGCGAGAATTATGTCTGGTCCTATTGCAATTTGAGCATTTGTGTTGGGATATTTTCTTAATCTCCTTCTTGACTTGTCTAGATATAGCTCTATTTATCGACAACTTACTCATACGATTAGCCAGTTCTTCATCTGAATCAACTTCAACATTTTTTGATGGATTCCCTCCATTTTTCTTAGGTAAGAAGGAAGAAAATTTATCAACGACTCCTTTAGTAATTGTATCTATTAATGATTGTAAAGTAGATGGATCTGCTAGAGCACTAAGACGATCTGTCGCTTCATCCATTCGTAACCATTCTTGGTCATTCAAGCGTAAAAGTGAATCTCGATATATTTTACCTGGTTCCATTTGACTAGGTCGTAATAATTGTACTTCTTGTCTTTGAGGAGCTGTCTGTAAAGAAACAGGTTGAGATTGTGTAGAAGTCATACGAGAATTTACATAGTTTTCCATTTCATTTCTACTCACACCTGTGTTGCTCAAGTAACTGTCTTTTGCATTAGCTTTAGATTGTAATCGAGAAATAACAGGGTGAGATTCAGGATTATACTAATCCAACATCATTTCAGCCTTCTGTCTTTCAATTTCTTCTAATTTTGGTAGTAAAGCAGAAATTGGATATTCGAGACCAATACGTCTTACTTCTATTTTGTTATCAGAAGAAAGGCCCTGAAAGAATTGCTGTCTAACCATTTTTTTTCGATTCAATGCTGAAAGTGCGGGATAGGCAAAACCAACCATTCTTTTCAATTTTGCGTAAAAATGACTTATAGGATCAGTACCTTGGATAATATTATGGAATACCACTTTTGATTTTTCGGCAGTTATTATGGGATAATTGGTTCTAAACCAATATAGTACCTGTCTGATACAAATTCCTGGAGCTATAGTATTACCTCTTACATTAGCATTGGAGGCATTTGGGGCTAGATCTGTTGGTCGTCCACCAGATATCAACCAGTCTTCATCGAAAACAGTATGTGCCGGCACTAATGGTGTGGCGATTGCATTATTATTGACCGGGACAGTATTTCTTATATGAAGAGCTCCACCTCTAAACTGATTGACATTAATAGCACGCAATGCATTATTGTTAGCCAATCCATTGATGGCACCAAGATCTGCAAGACCCGTATTGTCGCTAATATTTTGCAATTCCCAATTTTTATTTTTGAGATGAGTTTCATACCAATCTTTTGCATCATCTCTTAAACACGTCTCAAAAAGTCCATGAATCCTTACTCTGGTTCG